CTGAAACAGCAAGCAACACAAAAATAAGAAACCACGTACCACATAATGGCTCAAGAGAAGGTAGACCAAGTTGTTTCCTAAATACTCACTGTTGTCCACGTGGCAACTTTGGAAGCAAAAGCATGTGTTGGCATGTTTAATGTTATTTGAGAGAGAGTGTCTTGACCAAATATCAGAAATCCAATGACTGCAACGCCTCCGTACATTAAAAAGCACAGAAGAAAACTGTACATAGAGAAATTTGCTAAGTGAGGAGATGCATTAGAAACAACAGATCAAATGTTTGTTCAGTGGTGATGAGGAGGTAAGTTGGGAACCATATTATCAAGGCCTTGGTAAATTTTGTCTTGTCAGCCATAGACTGGTAAATGTTAGGAAAGACTGGATGTCCTGCATAGCAAAACCCAAAGATACCAATAGAATACGGAATTCCTCTCCAATTCACAAGCTGGCCAGTGGGATGGAATCCAATACCATCTGTTGTCCCAACCAAAAACACAGACACAACAACAAAAATTGTTGCAACAACCCCTCCAGCTGCAGATTCTCATGTACAATGAAAGGTCAAAGATGATATACGTACGTCAGTGCACGTCATTAAGCTTAAAAAATTAAGGTGAAATGAAATGAGGGACTCTATATTTAGAAATTGGGACTAACCTGAAAGATAAGAGATTATGCGAAGATCCTTCAACCAAACACTAGGGAGAACAACAAGTGCGGTCAGAACTCCTAACAGGTGCATGGAGTCCAAATGGATACTGCCAAAATCCAAGGATGTTCCGGGAAACAACCTTGTAAGGTTATCTCCTTCCAGGATAATAAATTCCACACAATATGTCTGCCTTCCGGGGAAGCATACCATGCATTTGTTAAATTGCAGAACATTCTTTTTTATTATTCTAGAAAATAAAAAAAGATCAATCAAGAATAGATGCGTGGAGCACTTACATATAATTCGATGTACAAAATAATCTGCAACAATATGTAAAAAGAATGGCATGAGTAAACATTGAGCAATAAAACCAGCGGTGTGCAATGCATAGATTAAAAACATTGGACGTAAATGTTATTTCAAACATGTGATAAAACATTCAGACATTTTGGTCAAAATAAAGATTTAGACCAAACGTGATAAATTGAAAGGAAAAAAAAAGATCTTATCTTATGGTCAGAGCCTTAAGAGTCTATGCTAAAAATATAGAATATAATAAATAGAATTATGATAAGTAAAAGTTAAAACACCAACATACCGAGAAAAGGCACGCACCTATACTTAGAAACATTTTAAAATGTACACGTATTTTTTAACTTGTTAAATTGTAAAGTGAATGAAAATAAATTTTGAATTTAAAAATTAATATTAACTTATGCTATACATTTGTTTTCGACTTATCATGAACGCTTTATTTTATTAGTTTAAACACCTGTCAAGATTTTTTTTTTGTTATTTACTTTTTGGAGAGCTAATTTGTTAGATTTCAAGTATACATCTTATTATTGTGTGCATCTGAATCACGTAATATGAGGTTATGCATAGTGGTGACAGGATGACTCGCAAGTGGCAGGTGGGTAAACAAGAGAAGAGAAAAATGATAATTGTGAAGAACGAAGATAATCAAATAATGATGTCGAGGGGTTTAGAGAAAGGACATACGGAGACAACAAGACGGCCGTATCTGCCAAAAGCAGCTTCTCCGATATCTGGCTAGGTTTTGATTCCTGGTCTGCTTTCAAAGCATTGCTTCATCAGTTGCGCCGTATAACAACACACGACTGCGAATATTAACAGAACCACCATGCTCCCCCACCCACCTTCTTTCACTGCACTCGGAGCTGACAGAAGCCCAATGCTCGCCAACACATTTACACCTGCCTCCCACGCACCACGTATTTTAGGTCATGTCAGGAACAGATATTCTATGCAAATTTAATAAAAATAGTAATTGAAATGGCTGACTAGCTGGCAAACATGGATTTAATTAATACCGTTAAAAACTGTTTGACTGAAGCTGCACACAGAGCTAGCGGGTGATTCTCCAGTGTGTTGTTTATGAAGTGAAGCGTAATTCTCCCCCGCTGATGAGATCCTTCCCCACCCAACATTCTGAGAGTGATCAGCACCTTCCCGACCTGATAGAAAAGGAGTCTTTCCCTCCAGGTCTGAGTCGCCTTTTGAAGTGGTAAAGCTTGAATATATCACGCTTGGTGTTCGAAGAAGCGCTCCTAATTGCGGTGATGCAGCAATTGTGTAAGAATCGATGGTCTCTCTTTCATAAACAAAGAATGTTCAGTCAGAAAGAAAATTAAAGAGATTGCCTGAGCATAGAAATCTGAATGGGAATTGAAGGCTGATTAATTACTTTCAAAAGAAAATTATTTTCACGGCAACGGCTAGAAAAATTTAAACACAGTGCTATAATATGCTTACTTATAACTTTGAGGCCATTGACGAGAAGAGAAAGCCTCCGGCGCTGCTTCATGATTCTCTTCATCGTTGGCGGCATCTTCGTAACCGGCACCACTAACGAACTTGGTAGTGTCGACGTCTCCAGCTTCCTCATCGTCCTGATCCGAAAAATACTCAAAGCTTCTCTCGTTCTCATTGTCAGTCATTTCAATCACTAGCTCCTTCGAAAACCCTGCACGCCTGCTGCGGCTGGCATATCTATCGAACTCGTTATTATTTATACCAACCAAAACCGAAAACGTTTTATTCTATGAACAAAACCACAGTAGGGTAAAACGGCAGCGATGAGTTGGAGGTGGCGAAGGCTGCGTGCGGTACTACGGTATGAGCTGTATTGTACTATTGTATTTTGAAATTTAATAACAGAAAATATAAACATGATCATATATATTATTAAATTTGGTCTTAGATCTGTTGCAACTAAAAGATTATACTCGGGATTCTGAGATAATCCAACTAACCAGGAATTTATTATTATTATTATTATTATTATTATTATTATTATTATTAAGTTTGGTATGCATGATATTATAATATAAAATGGCATGACCATGATATATACAATTGCATTTTTGTTCTAGGTGAGTGAATAGAGTAAAATTAATGTGCAAATAATGTAATGTGATCCATGATTGAAGACTGAAATTTTTGGATTTAAATCTTCCAAAGCTGAGATTGGTAAATTTATGTGAAATTTGTTTTTTTAAAAAAGAGATAGGAGATTTTATATTGTATAAAAATTAATAAAATGAAAGAAAATTATAAAAGAAGGAAAATTTCACATATATTTACTAATTTTGTTTTTAAAGGATTTAAATTCCAAATTTTTAGTAGGAATTTTGTGAACACACTCTTGATTTAGATGGGGTGTACATGGAGGATAAAAATTTATTAGGGTGAATCCCTTTCGCAGACGTACTATTTTTCTAATCAACATTACATGAAATTTAAATAAAAATTTATTCCATTTATATTTTACATTAATATATTGGAAAGGACTTTTTTGGGTTTACTCTCAATCATAAATTAATACAAACAATTTTGTGCATGGGAGCAATTTTTTTATTTTTGAATTTTTAAATTCTCGTAAATTTAAGAAAAAATAATTAGTTCATAAAAATATTTTTAACTATTAGAGAAGCCCAGAAAATGAGAAAACAGAGACAGAGGGCTTATTTAGCTATCTATTTTTAGAACAGTTTTTTTTCTATAAAACAAAAAAACTATTTAAAAATGCATTTTTTATTATTTATTTTAAAAAATAAAAGTTGTTTTGAATGATTAAAAAAATAAGAATATCTTTTAGATATTTTATTACCTTATATTTGTGAAAATTAGGGAAAAGACAGAAAATATATGCTTTCATTAATGACAAATATGTAAATAAAATAAATTATTCTTTTATACTTTATTTTTTTCAATTTAAATGTATTTTTTAAAATAATGAATTAAATAGATTTTTTAGAAAAAATGATAATAAAATCTCTCTAAAATATATGAATAATAATTTAGTCCCTCAAAATGTTATTAATGAATTTATATAAATTACCAAATTTTTTTTAAAATAAATGATTTACAATTTTTTTCTTATATTTGTAACTTTTTTTTTATATCTGTAATAATGAAACAGCAAATCACAACTTCACATGTTAAATTTTTTATTTACTATTGCATTGTTATGGATATAAGGAAAAAATTACGAATATAAGAAAAAAATTGTGAATCATTTATCTTTAACAATAAAAATTAATAATTTATATAAATTTATTAATAATATAAAATTCTCTAGCAACTTCAAAAAAATTATGATATTTTAAGGAACTTTTTATATATTTTAAAGACATTTTATTATCCTTTTTTTTATATTTTTTTCAAAATTTATTATGAAAAACTAAAGACCCATATTGAGAGAGAGTCTTGCGTACAGAAAGAAGACAAGACTTGACTTTTTAATTTCTTGCTTTAACTTGGGGCTTGTGGAAGTTGTTACGCCACTCGAGAGCATCCAAATGGATAATTATAAGCTTATTTTTAATAAAAATATACAGTAACATTCAAATGGATGATTTTTTGAGCCGTGACACCCTATCAACTCTGCGTTTAACCCGCCGCTGCAACGACAGTCGTATTACTGAAGTGATCGATCAAGTTTCACTAAACTTGCAGTCCACTTCTCTTGAGCTTGGGCTCCATCGAAAAAGAGCCTCCTGTTTCCTTTTCGTTTAATTTTTAATATTTTCTTAGTTAAAGATGTTTCACTATTTTAGCACACGTATTTAAAAAAAAAAAAAACTAGACCTTATAATTCTGATTTAGTTTGGCCTGTTATGCAAATCAGAAGTCGCAGAACGCATCCGCGAGAGGAAATTTTGAGATGAGGAAAAAAAAGGATTCCTTTCTTTGGGCGTATGATGAAGCAGACTATTACGTTGTGCAGAATAAATATAAGGTGCGATGCTTTGTTAAAGTTTTTGCTTATAGCCCAAGAGATGCATAGTTCAGTGCCCGCCAAACAAGATTGCATCTTTTGTTCTGTATAAAGGTCCCCTCATTTTGTCTCTTCATCATAACCCCGCCTTCTACGTCGCTGTATCCGATCATCACTCTTTCAAATCCTCCAGAGAACAAGCTAGCGAAGATGGGTAACAAGCTCACCGCGGGTACCATATCTCTCAAGCACATTCTCTCTCTCTCTCTGTTGTTCTGTTGTGTGTGCGTGTAACGGTATCGGGAATTTGTTGCAGGAGGTGATAACGGAAAGGGGAAGACGGATGTAATAGATGACTGTTATAGCACATATTTCGAAAGCAACGACCGCATCCACAGCGCAAGTGATTTCTGCCGAGCAATAGTCGATACAGTAAAGTAAGAATTACTCGAAGATATCACCTTAAGTTTTGTTCTTTTCCAACTAAATTGAAATGATATATATACAAATGTGCACGGTGCTATACTTTGGACAGGGAACTGAATAAAAAGCATGGATACACGCAGGTGAAAGCCCCGTCTGTGGATAGTCTGGAAAGAGAATACAAGGTAAGCAGAGAAATGAGTGGGATGTGAATGAATGAATATGAACAGATCCGAATTGAATGAATGAATGAATGAATGGGATATGCATGCATGCGCAGAAATATTGCAAGGATGGGAAGGGGAAGCCATCAAAGGAGGATTTCAAGAAGATCATGGGGAGTTTAGAGAAGGAGGCAGAGCTTACAGGTGTGGGCGGAGTGAAGGACACTCTGCTGTATATATTTGGAGTGCCTGCGTCTGCCACCTTCCTCAAGAACGCAGTCATGCCTGGCCTCGTCTCCAATGAAATTCTCATCCCCACCATGACTTCCCTCACCGCCCTCGTTCTCGCTAAGCTTAACAAGATTTGACCCTCTTCATTTACTCATGACTCGTGTTTCCATTTGTATCTATGCATTGTTTTTATTTCTTTCTTCTCAACTCTCCTCACCCACGTTTATTAATAATGAATAATATTTGCATTCCTGCTTCTATGTGTATATAAATTTGTACCACAACTACGACTTCTCTGGCGCGGCACAAGTTATGCCCGCATACCTCATAGTTCCAGCGGATACCCCTCGTTAATATTATTATGCTTTGAAGCTTAAAGCATCAGGGGGACCTTAGACGATCTCACCCTTCAACCAATGCAGACACTGTTATTATTTGATTACATCAAAATAAGTGACTTGTGTTCGTCGTGTGCCATGCTTAAAAAATAAATTCCGCTAATTGCAGTTTGTGAATATAGGAATTTTGTATTTTATGTTTCTTTCAATAGTTTTCTTTATAAACCAAAATATTAAAGAGAGAGAGACTTGCGCATAAAAAGAAGATTTTCGTTATATAAATTCCTTTCTTTTTTTATTAACAATTTTTCCCCTTCTCAAGTCTCCATGAAAAAATTTTTTTGGAGGGGGGGACAAAAAAATGAGGCTCACAAATGTTGTGTGTGTTTGAATGGGGGAAAAATCAATTTCCTCCCTTTTAAACAAATTATCCAAACAGTAAAAAAAGCACAAAAGTTGATTCTAACATACTAGGCGCGTTTTTTTCCTAAGCTACTTCCATCTACCTTTTGTCCAAAGCTTGTCAAAAATGTTAAAAAAAATTACAAATATAAGTTAAAAAAATTATAAAAAAACATATAATTTAATAAAAATAACATTAAACTCTTTTTTTAATAAAATTTAAACTTTGTACTTTCAAAAAAATTAATATTTGGTATTTAAAAATTAATTATATAGTAATTTATATAGTTAAAAATTAATTTTGATTAAATTATGTAAATATCTTTAATTGTTTTAAAATCAATTTTAATAAAATAGTATGCAAATAGATTATATTATAACATAATCAATTATAATTAAAATTATTATTTAATTAATTATTTTCATAATTTATTATACTCAATTACAATTCAAACGGCCACGGAGGGTCCGTTTGGATTTCAGTTGGTTATAATAGATTATGAAAATAATTGATTAAGTGATAGATTTTAATCATAATTGATTATGTTATAATAATCTGTTTGGATACTGTTTTTCTAAAATTAATTTTAACAGAATTAAAGATGTTTGGATAATTTAATTAGAATCAATTTTAGTTATATAAATTACTATATAATTTAATTTTTAAATACCAAATATCAATTTTTTAAAGATGTAAAGTTCAAATTTTATTCAGAAAAAAAAGAAAAAAAAAGAATTTGATTTTATTTTTATTAAATGTGCTTTTTTTGTAATTTTTGTTTGGGCCTATCTTTATAATTTTTTTCAATATTTTGAATAAATTTTTTCATAGAAGCTCTGATTCTCAACTTAAAAATAATCGATTTTTGACTTAAAAATTGATTTTTAAAAAAAGTGAGTGTTTGAATAATTTTTAAAAAATTAATTTTTTAGATCAAAAATTGATTATATTTGCTATCCAAACACACTTTGTTGTTTGTCCCAATGCCTAGGAACATCAGCGTTAATCGAGAAAACCAGTGTCTTTTTTTCTTTTTCGGCCTGCTCTGTGACCCTATGGAAAATTTGCCAGAACCTAAGATTAGGAAACAAAACACAGGGTTTCAGCGTTTGCGTCCACATGTCAGTGTTCTTAAAGGTTGTAGGTTGGCGAACGGTTCTCGCTCTCAAACCCCATTCTCCGATTCAAACATAGGGAGAAAAATTGTACTCTACGGCTATCTATTTTCAAAGTTTATTCAAAGTACCATGACAAGGCTAACATCACTCTGACTCGCAACAAATTGAGAACGGGTCCTACACGCTAGTCTGCTAGTGACAGGTGTCAATGTTTTGACAGGCATTAACGGATCATGTGCGTCGCCTGTGAGATTAGCACGTGCCCCAACAATTTGGAAAAATTGAGAACCCAAAAATCTCAAGCCTGTTTTGCTTCCTCAGGGAAAAAGGCAATCTTTGCTTCAATAGCTCCATTGAATAAAGCATCGTAGCATTAAGAAATGCACAATGGAAGCAAGCATTTGAATGTAAACTCACATTCCCCGGCTGCTTCTCTCTACGGAATAGATAGAAGTCATATAGCATTTTGTTTAAAAAAAGAAATGGTATTTCTCTCCTTCGTTGTTGTTTCATGGGATGAGCAGAAGCATGATTCGAATCCAATTTTATCAATTGGGTACAACGATCTCCCGTAAACAAGCTTAAAACCGAGAGGGGAAAAGTTTTCAGATGTAAAAATAAACAAAACAAAAGGAAAAAAAAAAGGAAAGAAAGCAAAACTCGAAATGATGGGCAGAGAAAGCGGTGTTATGAAGGCCTGGGAGGCCACCGTTCGGAGGACGCACGCAGTTGCGAAAAAGCGTGCCCATAGCATATTTGGGACTTACTCCGACTGGCATGCCAACGAAGAAGTCCTGAACATCGAGGAAAATGGAAACGAAGTCCAATACGAAACGTACCCCGCAGAGAAAGTTTTCCCCAATGGGGATTACTACAACGGTGAATGCACAGACAATTTCACTCACGGGGGGGGCAAATACTTGTGGACCGATGGGTGCATGTACGTGGGAGAATGGTGTAAGGGCAAAGCCATGGGAAGAGGAACGTTCAGCTGGCCTTCAGGAGCTACATATGAAGGCCAATTCACCAATGGTTATATACACGGAACGGGTACATACACGGGATCCAATGGGGACACTTACAAGGGAAAATGGGTCATGAATTTGAAGCACGGTTATGGTGTGAAGAACTTCGCTAATGGGGATTGTTATGAAGGGGAATGGCGACGAGGGTGTCCGAATGGACAGGGGAGATATCAATGGCAAAATGGGAACCATTATATTGGGGAATGGAAGAATGGGTCTATTTGGGGAGAAGGGTCCTTTGTGTGGGCCAATGGGAATAGGTACGATGGCTTGTGGGAAGATGGATTGCCTAAAGGGAATGGTTCGTACAAGTGGTTCGATGGTAGCGTTTATGTGGGGAATTTTAGCAAGGACCCAAAACTTCAGCACGGGACATACTATCCTTCTGATTCAACCCAGGAGGGCCATTTTGATTGGGATCCCTTGTCGTTGTATGATGAGTTGAATCAATGCGTGATATGTCCTGGGGAGAAACTTTCGGTTCTGCCATCTCAGAAGAAACCTGCAGTTTGGAAGTCCACTAAGGCCGGGAGAACCACGGTGGATACCAGGGTCGGCGAAAAGGGAAGCGATTCGGCGGTTTCATGGGATGGTACTGTGGAGGGTGAAGTTGGTGGTGATGGAACTTCAGCTGCAGGCAATGATTTGTTAGAAGAATTGTTGGGTTTGCATATAGATGACATTATTGAGGATGGCGAGATACAGCTGCAGGTTCTGAAAGTACCAAGGGCAACAAAGAGGCCGGGAGAAACCATATCCCCAGGCCACAAAAGTTATGATCTCATGCTCAATTTACAGTTGGGGATTAGGTATCTCTTACATTATGGCACAAACTGCTCTGTTTTAACAAATCTTGTGCTGTTTCAAGTTTTCAATGGTTGACCTTTGTTTATGCGTTATTTTCTTACCCGTCAAAAAGGAAACATTATTTAAGAGCCTAATCAACTAGAGAGGAGAGACAAACACCTTAAGAGCCTAATCGACTAGAGAGGAGAGACAACTGAAAAGTTCACCTTTGTCTTACATCCTACTCCTAGCAGCCTTTAGTTTATCACTTTGTTTTTACCTTCATTTTCTTTTTTCTTTTTTGCCTGGTTAATCTATTTACTTTAATCATATCAATCAACTCAGTTGAACCACGGGTCTAAGTATTAGTTTTTCTGACTCATCTTGGAACGAAAATGCGGTACACCACCTAATAAGAGAAGAAATTTCTATCGACGGTTCATCCTGTTTTCTCCACTGATAAAACTTCTTCTCCTTCTTCTTTCCATTTAAACATGTTCCTGTAGTTCCAGCCGGCGCAATTCTTCAAAACTTTGTGCAGTTCTGTATATCTACTATCTTACAAGTAATGCATGTGGTTAATCGTTTTACTTCCATTTTACATGGTTGTTTGCTCTTTAACTTCGTTTGGAGAATATCATTCATTAGAATTTTACAGGCACTCCGTTGCAAGACCTGGTCCCACATCAAATTTTGATCTGAATCCTTCAGCTTTTGATCCCAAGGATAAAATATGGACCAGATTTCCCCCAGAAGGATCCAAACATACTCCACCACATGGATCCGCTGAGTTTAAGTGGAAGGATTATTGCCCAATTGTTTTCAGGTCAGCCCTCTGAATATGATTTTATATGCCAGTTGTTAGATTCTTCCACGAACAGTCCTTTTTGCGATCAACTTAACTGTGAATATTTTATTGTCAATAGGACTTTAAGGAGTTTATTCAAAGTGGATGCAGCTGAGTACATGTTATCCATCTGTGGAGATGCAGCCCTCCATGAACTTTCCTCTCCCGGGAAAAGTGGCAGTTTCTTTTACTTGACTAATGATGACCGTTACATGATTAAGACAGTAAAAAAAACTGAAGTCAAAGTTAATTTCCCCCACTGTCTCCCACCAATTTGAAATTTCTTCTGCATTTGTCCAGGTTTTTGCTTGTTTCATTATGATGGATCTCTCTTACAGGTGCTCCTGAGAATGCTTCCAGCTTATTACAACCATTTTCGATCCTTTGAACATACTCTACTTACTAAATTTTATGGCCTACATTGTGTAAAGTTTGTTGGACCTGCCCAGAAGAAGGTATGTTTTCACTACATTAATTCCCTTGTTATGCAAATACTATAAATTGTTTGTTTGATTCAAATTACAAAATATGAATAATTAGTGCAAGGGTTATAGCTTCGCAACATGTTTGATCTTCTAGGTTCGATTTATCATTATGGGGAACCTCTTCTGTACTCAATATGCCATCCATAGACGCTTTGATTTGAAGGGTTCTTCTCTTGGCCGCATAACAGATAAGCCCGAGAGGGAGATTGACGCAAACACTATTTTCAAAGATCTTGATCTTAATTTCATATTTC